TCCAGCCCACAGATGGTTTTGCAATGAGCACTTCCACCTCGCCATAGCCCAAGAAATGATCGATGGTGTTTTCATTTTGCTGCTCCAAAGGGTCAAAGTGCCATCCAGGACCCATGACAGCCCAACAGAGAAATGTTAGTTCTGAAAGGAAATTTATTTCGTAGCTCGAGGGGAAGTTCTGGGTGCCCTGAATGGATTCCCTCTGTCAGTGTGTAAAAATGTATTGTTTGCGAGATAATGCCTGTATGTCAGCGCAGTCAGTATGAGGGCGACTGTAGCAGCCGCTTAAACAGATGCTAAACCAGTTTTTGTAGCACCTTCACATAGTTGTTCTCAAGAAACCTTTGGGAGAGAAAGGCACTCGTGAATTATTTTTCTCTGCAAAGGCCAAGGGAGTGAAACTGCGTCTGAAAATCACACGTTCTCTGCTTTTATTTGGCTAACCCAGGGGAGCACCTGGATCTGCTTCTTCCGAGCTCTTCTCCGGAGGAGGCCTCAGGCAGGAACCTTGGCTCACAGCGCCGCAGAGCATCCTCTCGGAGCACAATTGCGGCGCAGGGGCCCTGGAGGCAGCGCAGCAACTACAGCTTGGGCCGGTCAGTGCAGGCATCTCCGCAGACCGGTGGGCACACGGGGCTCGGCTGGCCAGCCTGCCCCCAGCCACGGGTCCCAGTTCCGGCCCGCTGGCGGATGGCGAATTCAGGCATCCGCCCACCAAGCCGTGGCTCGTTCCCTTGTGGAGGGTGGTGTTGGGGCTCAGGGGACCAAAGAAGGGCCGCTGTGCCTTGCTTCTTGCCTCCCGCCCTGCAGTTCACCAATCCCCTCAGCTTAGAACCACACCAAATGCCCACCCCGCCCTGCCCCCGGGGGAGGTCCTTGCCCCCTGTGAAAGCGGGATGGCTTTTGGGGGCTGAGGGGGCACTTCCCATCACTTCTGAGAGTGCCCCCTCCTTCTGCCACAAATGCTTTGCCAGGCCTCAGCTGGCAAAAGCTGCCCACACACACTGGCCATGGAGAACCTGGCGGGCCATTCTGCAGCAGGTGGGGCCCTGCCAGAAGCTTCCGGTACCCCAGCCTCCAAAACAGAAGCTCCTTTCCCATCAGACCACTCCAGCTGATGCACTTACAAAAATGTGCAAATTCGCATTATTTGCACATTTATTTCCCACTCCCCTTGCAAGCTCCAGGAACGCTCTGCCCCTCGTTTGGTCAACGTGGCAGCGTGGGAGCCCGCTGGACAGCCCACCGTCGCCGGGTGGGTTCCACGCCGGGGGGGGCGTGAGCCTGGGGCTCCCTGGTGGGGGCCAGCACACTCCTCAGCCCCACTGGCACGCTCTTCTCGCAGCCACCAACGCCGCTGTGCTCTTAGGCTCGTGTGGCTTTTATGTACATCATGTCCCATGTTTCAGCTCTGGCGTCACAGTGCCCTCAGTGGCCCCAGAGCACCCCAGCTCCTCCCCAGAAGATGCAGCGCATTCTCCTTCGCAGCCCCCCTTGAGCCCGGGATGGCCCCTCCACCCTCCCTTTCCAGCCGCTGCGGCTGGATGCGGACAGTGTGAGAGACGCTGTTTTTACTGCCGCCGCTCGGGGGGAGGTGGTGTTTGTCCGGAGGCCCCTTCAAGGGGGCAGAACAAAGCCACAGAAAGGTTGGCGTCTTTTTAGATTTTGATAGATAAGTGGGAGGGCAACCAAGTCAGGCTCCTCCATCTGGTTTCTAGCAAACCTAAACAGTCCGAAGTGCAGGATTTTCCCTTTCACTGGGTTTGTGGAAGAAAGCCCCGATGGTAGCTGCTCCCAGGCCCAAAGCCCGGGAGGGCGAGGAGCTTCCCTGGCTTTTCGCAGAGCGCTGCTTAGTGGAGGTGTTAAGGGGCCTCATGCTCCTCTGCTAACCCCCAGAAACAGCCTTTCTCCTTGGAAAGCAGGAACTGCCCCGAGAGCTCCTCAGCCACTGCAGCAGTCGCAGGCCGTCGCCGGGCTTCCAGCCCACCGGCGACCCCTGAGCCCGTGTGGACGCGATGCCCAGCGGCTGCGGCTTGGCCGGGATCAGCGGAATCCGGCTGTGAGGGTGGCTGCAGCGCCCAGCCCACGAGGATGCGCCCCTGCGCCACCCGGGGCTGCCCGCTCTTCTTCTCTCCCTGTGCTCAAAGCCTATTTGCTTATTCTCGTAATCGGTTTCTGGTGTATTTACATTTCTGCACTTCAGACGTGCATTTCTAAGGGTCGGGTTTCTCTCTGCCGGGCTGTTCCCACCCTTCCCCCTGCTGGCTCCCCAGACCCCTCTCTGTTGCTCGGAGCAGGCTTTGGTGAGTCCCAGGTCCCGTGTCAAAGGCCACGACCCTGATGTCAGAGCAGCCCTTGCTGCTGGCCCCTTCTTGAATGATTATCTGGAGTTTATTGTGCCGAGGGACGGGGAGGGGGCAGCTCAGTCACCCTGGCAGGGCTTTCCAGCCGGACTCCGGCTCAACAAAGGAACAGGGAGTTTCACGGAAGCACAAAAGACTACATTAAAGTTGGGCATTTGGCTGGAGAGCCGGGTGTGCCTTGGAAATCCTCGCGGGCTGCCCGTGATTCTTCCTCCCCTTACAGGGCAGCCCCGCAAGAGCCCTGGCCCGCTCGCTCGGAACATGGCTTGAGGGGGATATTTATCAGGCAGCTTTGTGCGCGAGCCGGCGAACGGCTGCCATGGCGCTCTGCCTTCAGCTAGGGCTGTGTGTGTGTGGAAAGTTCTTTGCTGCCAGACCTGTGATGCTCAGAAACGGGTCCTGCCCAGTGGCCCAGGCGCTGCAGAAAGTGCAAAGAGTCCAGCTGAGCGGCTGCAGCGTCCCCTGCTGCGCTCGTTGCCCCCTCCCCTTTACTTCCAAACCTTTATCAGCCATGAATGAGGCTGTGCGGCTGAGGGGGAGGGGGCTGAATTCCCTGCTCCAAAAGAAGAGAAGAGCCACTCACGGTCCTGACCTCGGATTCCTGCTTAATTTTAACTAGCCCTGACCTGTTGGCTCCGTTCTGCCTTCTTCGGAGGCTCACAAACACGTAGCAGCTGAAAGAAACAATGCCAGGACTTTCAGGGAATCGCACTTTGCTGACCTCCGCTGGGAAATCTGTAAACAGACGCCTTTCTGTGAGGCTCGGGCCAGGAAGCCCCCAAACGGGCGAGGGCCCTCTGTGCAGGGGAGCCATCCGAGCGGCTCTTCGGGCCCGTTTTGCTTTCTGGCAAAATGGATTCTGAACTTTGCTTTGAAAATTGAGGCAACTGGGGAGCTTGTGGATGGCTTCTGTGGAACATGGCCTTAAAGTGTGGCTGCAGCAAAGCTGCCTTGGCTAAAAAGCAGGAAGGGCAAGTGGAATAATTCCTGCAACTAATTCTTGGGCAGTACTGGAAACTTCATGGGGACCCAGGTTATTTGGGAAAGATGTGTGGCATTGTTAAAGAGCACGTGGAATTCCTTCTGCCCTGTTATAGGTAGCTGGACAAATTTAAGGTGGGCGTCTTGTTTTTCTAACAGAGCCTTTAATTCTTCTGTTATAGGCAGACATCCAACAGGGGCACTTTCTCCAGCTCTGCAGTGGTGGAGAAAGCTGCATTGGTTGAGTTTCTGCCTATCATAGCATTCTTAATACGTGTTGATGTCTTAATGCCCGAGGAGGCCGTGCTAGCAGGCTGAAGGGTGCCTGTCGCCCGGCCCTTCGTAGCAGCCTGGCAGAAGTGTCCACGTTCTGCACAGCACTTGGACGCCTCCAGGCAGACAGTCCTCGCATCCGCCGTTCCTTGTCCTTCTGGTATTTTCCTTGCCTAGACAGTCCCTTCCATCCAGAAATTGTGCCCCAGGGGTCCAAGATGTGCTGCTCTGGGCCCCAGCATCCCGCCAGGTGTGGCCCAGGTGCTCGGCCTCGGCTCTGCCTGCTGCTGAGATTTGGAGGACGGTCCAGGAGCTTCTGCAGCATGTCCCTCGCTCCTTGCAACTTTGCAAAGGAGAGGAAGGGTCACTGCAGGATGCCTTTTGCAGCGATCTGTGTGCTTTCTCATTCCATTGAGGTGACCAGCTAGAGAGCGGCTGGAGATATCCTAGGTGGGTGACCCTAAATTTAGACAAATAAAAAACATTTTTTAAGCGTCTGTCAAGGGGCAGAGCTTCCTCGGAGGAAGCTGGTGTGCTAGCGCCCCCTGGCGCCCTGCCCTGGAATGCTGCCTCCGGATGCCTGCGGATCAAAGGCCCCTTTGGAGCAGGGAGGCAGACAAAAGGACGGAGACCAGCAGTGTCGCTGCTGAGAGAGGAGGAGTCGGGTCCTGCCCCCTTGCTTGGGCCTCCTCCCCTCACGCCCAATTTCAAAGGCCTCTTGCTGCAAAGATGTTTTGTTAAATGTGCAACACCAAAACTGCATGGACTGTGAGGAGAACCAACCTCAGTTCTCCTGTGCCTCTGGACTGCTTTTAATCCTAGCCCTGCTCCCTGCAAGCAATTTGCGGGGACAGATATGTTCCTCCCCCCTCCCTGCAAAGGGTTCAGGATGAGAGATTGTGGAACTAGTCCAGGGACATGGAGTAGCAGACTTTGTGCTTGAGCAGGATTTGGGCCCGGCCTCCCTGGGTGGGCAGGTGGACATGCATCCCACCAGCCAGACCAGGTGGAGCAAGGCTGTTTTCCAGCTAACCTCTCCAGATCACAAAACCAAGCCTTTGTACTATCTACCTACCTACCTACCTATTTAAAGTTTTTATAGGCCGTCCCCTTGCTACATAACCTCGGAGGGCAACCTAGCGGTTTGTGATTCAGATGGGAAACATTTCCCAGCATTCAGTGACCGCGGAAGCTGTCCACATGCACCCCTTCCAGCTGTTCTTTTGACTCTGTTTCATGACCCCAAGCGAGCCCAGAAGAGCGCAAGCGAATGCCACCGTTTCTTTTGTGGTGGGGCAGCATTCTCCGGTCGAAGCCAAGAAGCGCGTGTTTCTCATCCTCCGGCAGTTCTCAAAAATCAGTGAAGTGTTCTTCTCTTTGCAGACCCCCGAAGGAAGTACCATGTACGGCTCCTGGCCTACAACAGCATGGAAGAGGGCTACCAGGCCGATCAGACTGTCAGCACGCCCGGATGCGTCTGTGAGTGGCCAGCTCCTGTTCCTAAAACACTCTGCCCAGCGCCTTCTTAGGGGCACTGTGACAGCACGGGGGGGTGGGGGGGACTCGGTGATCACTGAGTCCCCCAAAGACCCCTTTATGAAGGAGCCCAAGGTGGCTATTGCGAAGTGAGGGGAAAAATACAGACTGCAATACACGGTGTAGCTTCAAGCTGGAGCGGTTGCCTTCTTATTTATTTTTCTGAACAATTTCTAGCAAAGATGACTGGCAGGGTCCTCCTGGCCTGCTGGCGCACAGCCGAACTACATGGTAGGCCAAGATAAGTGGCCGGAGCAGGGAGGGAGGAAGCAAACTCAGACACTGATTCCAGTCCGGTTACTTGCCATTTTACGTTTGGGATTGAACGGACTTGTTTGGGTCATTAAAACCCTTCAGTGGCTGGGATGGCAGTGCCCTGACGGGGACCCCACGTGCCCCGGAAGGGCTAGCCTACACATCCCGCTGGGCGGCTCCAGCCCCACTCCGAGGGCAGACCTGTGTTAGCCCTGACTGTGTCGCTGTCGTGTCTCCCGAACAGCTGTGCGCGACCGGCTGGTGCCGCCCCCTCCCCCGCCGCACCACCTCTCTGCCAAAGCCAACTCCTCGTCCGCCATCCAGCTGCACTGGGGGCGCCCGGCGTTCACCTCGGCACAGGTCGTCAACTACACGCTCCGATGCAACCCCGTCGGGCTGCAGAACGCTTCCCTGGTCCTCTACCTTCAGACGTACGTAGCATCCCTTCTGCCGGTCCTGGCTTCCTCTGTTCCCTGTCTGGACAAGCACCCCCCGCCCCCAAAACGGCCTGCGCCGCTTTTAGGGTGCACTCAGCGGGGTGTCTTGTTAGTGAGGCCTCTGGGCAGTCCTGAGGCCTGCTCCTGAGCGGCCTCGCCTCTTGGCCTGTTTGCATTCAGGTGTGCTTGTCCGGGTTTGTTGAAGGACCCAGGAAGAGCTTTGGTGCCGAATCAGGCCGAGGTCCCTCTAGCCCAGTGTTTGGGTCACATGGGGGCCAAACAGTTGCTGATGGGGAGTCTGCAGACAGGACAGGAATGCCCCCCCCCCCACCATCTTCCCCAGCGACTGGCGCATGCAGGGGTGCTACCCGATCTTGGAGGACATGGGGCCGTGGCGAGCCTTCCCCGCCGTGGATTTGCTCAGTCCCTCTGGAGGCCACCCAAGCCGGCAGCCGCCGCACAAGGAGGGGGCCCCACCAACTCACACGCAGGCCGCCCAGTCGCCTGCCGCTCCTCGCTTGCACTGACCTTGCTTGCGCAGATTCTGTCGCACCCCTGGCTTGGGGGTCAGGACGTTATGGGGACAGGCTGACAGCGCATTTTTTAGGCCAGCCTCGGATCTGTTTTTGAGGTCGGAAGCGCCAGACACGGCCCAGCTTGCCTGGAACCACGCACGTAGTCATGGCCGCTTTGCCCAGGTGCCTGCCAAGCTCGGGGCAGGGTGACCCCTCCCAGCATGCCCTCCCTGCCTCTGTGAAGGCCCCACTGGCAACCAGATCCAGCCATGGGCCTGGGGCCTCAGGGCCCTGGCCCTGCTTCTGGGGAAGCCGTGGAGCCCCTCCGGCCTGGGTGCTTGGGAGGAGGAGCTGGGAGGCCAGCGGTGCCGCTCTGGTGGTGGCCTCTGGTAGGCATGCCCTCTCTAACGACCCAGAAGGTGGCCCTGTCCTTCCCAGAGGGCCCAGTTTGGCGCATCAGTGGTCGCCCCCCTGCTTCACCCGTGGCCGCACCATCGCAGAAGAATGTAAGGGCCCCCTGCCTGGGGCGAGGGGAGAACCACGCCTGGCGCTCAGCTCTCCTTTGCCGGTTGCCTTCCAGATCGGAAACGCACATGCTGGTTCAGGGGCTGGAACCCAGCACCCAGTACGAGTTCGCCGTCCGGCTGCACGTGGACCAGCGCTCCAGCCCCTGGAGTCCGGTGGTGTATCACGCGACGCTTCCCGAAGGTGAGGATGGCGCAGCGGCAGCAGAGGGTGCCGTCGGGTCAGCTGCAGCGCACGGCGCGGGCAACGGGCGCCTCTGGATCGTGCCGACACTGCCTTCCCGCCACACGTGCCAGCAAAAGAACCGCCCCCAGCGGCCAGAGTTGTGGCCCCTCATTTGCCCATGATGGGTCCCCCATGCTGCAGAGCCTCTCGGCTGTCCGGTGCCCCAGCACCACATTGCTGGGGGACCAGCCCAGCTGCCGTTCGAGGCTTCAGAGCGATTCCGGGTTTTCTGAGCAAATGTTGGCATGGAGGGGGAAGTTCCAGCAGCACCGGGGCATCTGGGGAGACCGGGGCCGTTTTGCCTCCACCCTGATCATTGTAGAGGGCCTGGTGTTGGTGTGGGGGCCCGCAAGTGCGGTTGTGCCCCGGTAAAACCAGCTGGCTGTTCCCGCAGCACCCGCCGGCCCCCCACTGGGAGTGAAGGTGACCCTGATCGAGGAGGACACGGCCCTGGTGTCCTGGAAGCCGCCCGGGGGCCTCGGCACGCTCGTCTCCCGCTACACGATCCTCTACGCCTCCCGCAAGGCTTGGATCGCTGGCGAATGGCAAGTCCTGCACAGGGAAGGTGAGTGGGAGGCTTGGCAGGCCGCCTGCGGGAGGGGCGGGCTGCGAGAAGCCGCTTCCCGTGCTCCGGGTCCCTTGCAGTTGGCGCGAAACAGCTTCACCCCGAGGCTTGCCCCGGGACGGGCAGTGGCTGGCTGGGCGCTTGGCCCACCCAATGCTGTGCAGGGCGGCCTCCTCTCCCCGACCAGGAGAACAGAGGAGGCGGCATCGCCCCGGTCTGCACACTCACATGCCGCATCCAGGGCTCTGCCCTGCCAGCCCGGGCCAGCCTGCACGGGGGTGGGCGCTGAGGGAAGATGGGCTGGGAGCCGTGGAGCTGGGAAAGGGAGGCCAGCTCTGGGGCACGGAGGCAGTGGCTGGGGGCACGGCGTTGACCTGGAGGATGCTTAGGATGTTCGGGGGCTAGGAACAGTCTTCAGTGTTTTTCTCAGTGGGGAAACTCAGCCCAAGCAAGCTCCAGGCGGGGGCATAGCAGAAAGACCTATCCAGTCCAGTTCAGAGGTTTTGTACGCACAACACCCGCTCTGTTTAAAATGCATCCTTTTTGTCTGTGGTTCCTGACACAACACTTGCAAGGCCCCCTTGAGTGCAACTTAATGAAGCATGGCAGGGAGTGGGTGCTGCAGTGAGGGAGGCCGGGGCAAGCCAGGCAGCAGCCTCGGGCTCAGAGGAAGCCACCAGATTGACCGAATCTGGCAGCAAACTTTTCACTTTGCTCCTTTCCCGTAGGAACGATAACAATGGCATTGCTGGAGAACCTCACGGCGGGAAACGTCTACCTTGTTAAAATAGCGGCATCCAACGAAGTCGGGGAGGGCCCCTTCTCCACCGCCGTGGAACTGGCTGTCCTGCCGAAGGGAGCGTCAGCATCCAACCAGCGGCCCAAGCGGTTGGACGCTGCGGATGGCGACACAGGTGTGTATCCAGAGCTTGGACTGCCCTCCCAATCAGGTCCCGGGTGGAGGGGCGCTGTGGCAGGCCTTTCCGGGAGCATTCCCGGCACTGGGAGCTCGGATTTTGCAAGACCTCTTTTAAAATGCAAGTGCCGCAGCCTGGAGGACAGAGGGGGACGGGGCTGGCCTGAGCGCCTTGCATCATCAGGCTGATGGTGGCAGCCCGGCCTGGCCATCCTTTGTGCATGGACAGGCAGACTCAGCCACTCGGGCCGGGCGCTGTGCCCGAGTGGGTTTTTGCAGGCCGCTTTGCAGGCAGTGGAAGGCTTCTGGAGGCAGGAACTTCAGCCGCCGGAGTGCGGATTTAGGTTCGCAAGGCCTGATGTGGGGACTCCGTTCTCTCTCGTTCTCATCCAGCCAAAGCGTGGTCTGAGGGCCTGGGTGGGGGTTGCTGGGAGCCACACATGCGTGCCCCACAAACACAAGTCGCCCCCCTCCTGCTCCCGTCAGGTGCAGATCCCGGCTCTTCCCAGAGCTTGCCCGGACACCTGACGAAGGCCACCTTGAGAGAGACCCCCTCTGCCCCCATTCCAGCCCCTGGCACCCCTTCCCAGGGCCCCTCCTGCTGCTCATCCCATGAGTCTGAACCCGCCCAAGCTTGGAACGCCCTCCCAGACAGCCACCTCCACGTTCCTGGCAAATTGCCCCTTTCCAGGGAGGGAGGGAGGAGCCTTCCTCCCCAGCAGATTTCTCGCGCCTTCTCGGTGCTGGTTTTCGGGCTCGCTCGGATGAGCTCCATCTCCTCCCCGTGTGGCAAGGGCAGGGCCTTCCCAAGCTGGCTGCCCAGCCCGTCCGGGGGTTCCTCGCCGCGCTGCTCAGGTGCAGCACTTTGCGCGTTGGGCAGAAATGTCTGGGTGAGCCTGGTGGGAGCGGCCGGGAGAAGCTGCTCGGGGTTTTCTGGAAGGAGCGTTCTGGGAGGCTGCAGTGCTGGGAGTTGCCCCTCCTCGCTTCCTTGCAGGTTACTCCGGCTACTACCAGCTGGACCAGAAGTCCATGACGGGCATCGTTGCTGGCGTCTGCATCGCCCTGACCTGTATCCTGGTCTGCGTCCTCATCCTGATCCATCGCAGCAAAGCCAGGCAAGCCGGGGGCCCCTGGGGTGCTTCCGCCCCCACCACCAAAGTGCCCGAGAGAAGCAGGCCGGAGACTGTGGGGCCCAGAACCCTGCACCCCTCCTCCCAGGGAGCCCCTCGAGACAGCCACGTGCAGGAGGCCTGGGGGGTCCATGGGGGCGTGCAAGGCCACATGCTGCAGCAGGACATTGCCCATTCATGGCGGGGGGGGGTTGCCCACCAGCCACGCCTGCCCACGGCTGACCTCTCCTCTGGCTTCCCATTGCTCAGGAAAACGTCGGCCCCCAAAAGCAGCCAGCGGGGCTCCCTGCAGCTCTCCCGCCAGGGCAGCTCTTCCACCGGTGCCCGGGAGCCGGGCAAGAGCCTGGGGGACGTTGCGGAAAACGAGGAGTCCTTACTGCCAATGATAGGGAGCGCCGGCTTCCTGGATGCCAAGGTACCGAGGCCCGCTTCCTCCTTGTGCTTGTATTTCTTCGGGAGAAAATGGCGTCCCTCGGGGTGGCTTGCAACAATTCAAACCAAGCAATCTCACAGAAGGAATTATACATGGTGCAGAAGTGGACATGGGCTTGGAGGGTAGAAAGATTCCAAAATTTGGGGAAGGAGGACCAAAGGGATGCTCTGTGAAGGTCGGGGTGGTCGCAAGTCCGCAGCCAGATCACCACCGGCCCATCCAGTGCAGACGGGGCCGGCCCAAAGCTCACCCTGTGGCAGGCGAGGTGCCCCCGTGGTCTTGCAGGCACCCTGCGCTAATCCACATCGTCGCATCTTCTAACACTGCTCGTCGACAGCCTTGGCTGGGAAGGGTTTTCTGCACGGAGGGGACTTGTGTATCGTGAGAAGCCGTGCCACACGTGCACGGGGAGGTCGCCCTCCGATCCGCTGCAGGAAGTGGCCATGGAATAGGCCAGTCCAGCCTGCACCCACGTGCAGCGGGTTCTGAGAGGGTGCGCGATGCAGGCCTGGGAGCCTGCGCATGGGGCTGGGGGCTGAGCATGGAGAGGTGGAGAGCATGCCCAGCTGGAGAGCATGCCCTTGTTCGCCTGGGAGTTTTCTCCCTGGATCCACCCCTGGCAAGTCCCCTTCGATGGCTCCTTGTAAACATGTGCAACCCGTTCTGAGAGCAAGTGCTGAGAGAACAGTCTATAAAATAATTACATGGAGAAGGACTGTTTGCTTCCACCCCGTTCATCCGGCCCGTGGGTGGGGATTTGGGGGGGGCTGGCCCAGGGTTGGGCACTTCTTCCAACACAGTCCGGTGCCTGTGGACACAGGAGTGCGCTAGCACGGCTTGTTTGCGGGCAAGCGTGCGGAGGGGCGCGCCCGTCGGGCTGCGGGCTGCAGGCGGAACATGGAAACGGCTGGAGAGAGGGGTCACATGCCCCCACCGAGGCCTCTGCATTGATGCCGCCGCCTCCTGTTTCCCGGAGTGACGTGAGGTTCCTTTGCCTGCTATAGGGGGGCACTGACTTGGTCATCAACAGCTTTGGGCCAGTCGCAAAGAGCAGCTCGAAGAAGCGGTGGCTCTTCTTCCAAGATGTGAGGAAGGCAAAGGCGGAGGAGGTAAGAGGGGGCTGTGAAAGGCCTCCCAGGCTGCGGGGGTGGGGGGCTCCAGGCCAGGCCCCCAGCCTCCTCGCTGTCATTCGCAGGTGGACACGGCACCGGGTTCCTCTCCTGGCCGCTTGCACCAGGGCAGCCCCGCGGGGGGCCTTGCGCTGCTCAGGTCCAGGCTGCTGAGGGGCCTTGGCCAGAGGAGGCGGCTGGCTTGGCACTGCCAGCCCGGCCCCAGGGCTTCCCTTCGGGGCCTCCCGGAGGACGGTACCGTGAACGCCGCCCTTGTGCTTCCTCCAGGCCCAGAGGCGGCTCGCCCAAGCCGCGTGCTCACACCAGCTGGGCCACGCCGTTCCCGGCAGGGAGGACAGCTCCCCGGAGCCACAGCCGGACTTTGCGACACCGTACGGCGTCGTGGCTGACATGGAGCACTCTGCAAACAGCGAAGGGAGCCACGACACCGGCGACTCCGGGAGGTTTTCGCACGAGTCCAGCGAAGATCTGCATCACTCCGCAGACCTGGCCAAAGGCCCGGGGGCGCCCGATCCCGTGGGGTGCAGTGCCTTGTGCGTGGCCAGCAGGCACGCCATCCTGAGTGCTTCCAAAGAGCCCCCCGACCAAAGCACCCCTCCGCCCCCTCTCCAGCCTCCGCTGTCGGGACAGCACTGAGCTGCCAGCCTGGCCGTGCTCCTGTGCTGTCCTGGGGACAATGAACAGCAAGCCAAAGCATTCGGGAGGGACCTGGGAGGACCGCAAGTGACTCCAGGTTCTGCCTGTGTTTTCTTAATGTGTGAAACTCACTCGTCTGAATGTTTAGTGCTCAGCATGTGAAGGGAGAGCACAGATTTCTGAGCAGCGCAAAGAAAAGCTCTCTCTCTCTCTTTCTCTCTTTCTCTCTCTCTCTCTCTCTCTCTCTCTCTCTTGCTCTCCCTCTATCATTAGAGCAGAGGTGTTCCCTCTGCTTGGACGTCTACCTCAGTTTGCCAGATGGCGAACTCAGAACAATTGCATTACCTTGTTGCGACATGGAGAGTTGGCCTCGGCAATGTTACCAGTGAGAACTTCCTAGTGACCAATCCCCTGTATTTTGCTGCATACCTGAGGGAGAGTGGGAGAGCGTGAGTCCCCCAGGGCTGGTGCCGACAGGCTGCGAGGAGGAGGAGGAGGAGGAGGAGGAGGGTGCGGTACGGCGGCAGCCTCCCATCGGAGCAGGAGCGGAGGAGAGAGAGCTGGCAGAGTGGTCTGGACCAGCCTGGATGCAGCATGCGAGCCCCAGGCAGCCCACAGGCCTTGCTCAGAGGCCCCCGCCTCTGCAGGCGCTTCCAGGGCGCAGTCGCCTCGGGCCACCTGAGGTCGAGGCAGAGGCCCTGCCAGGGCCGGGGGCGGCCCCCCTGGCTCCCCAGCCCGCTCCTGCGGGGGCCTTGCGGGCCATGCTTCCACCAGTGCCTTCGTGGTTGACCTCGTTGGGAGACGCTGCGCCGGATCCGGCGTGGGAGCAGCCGTCGTTGCCTGGGTCAGGCAGAAGGGCGATGCTGAACGCAGGGCGCGTCCTCACGTCGCAGCAGCAGTGCCTTCAAGTGTACATGCGCGCGCACACACACACGTGCAAGTACGTCCGTCGGTGTGTGCTGCGAAATCACTGTTTTGCCTTACGCCTTTTTTAGTATTCATGAAGTTGCTTCAGAGTACAGAAAAATGCCTTAAACACGCTGCACATGGGGCGCCAGCGGGACTCGCATGCTCGGGGACTGCGAGGGCCCGCGTCTCCCGACCACGCCTGCGCACCAAAAAGCTCTCTCGCCTCCTGACAGCTCAGGGCGTGTGGCCACGTCTCTCCCTCCCTCCCCTCCCCTCCCGAAGTCGGTCGTGCCAGGCAGCTGGGCATTCCTGGTGGGATGGAGGAGCCGGGGACTTAGCTGGGCAGCCTCTAGGAAGAAGGCGGGCGCCTCTTGCCGCCTGCCTGCATCCGTGCAACTCCTGTTTTATACTACCTCCTTTTAAAGTAATTCTAGTATTATTGTTTTCCTGTACTCAGGGCGCAGTTTGTTAACTTTTGGAAGCTGTCTTGCAGCAATGCGAGGCAAACTGACAGGGTATCGTGTTTGTTTTGCTCTAAGTCGGAGAGCGTGTGTGTGTGCGTGTGCGTGAGGGAGTGTGAGTGAGGGGGGGCCATGTTCACCAAAGTTGTAAGCCTGCAGTAGACACCCCTTCCCCACCTGCTCCAACTGGGATTCCTTTCTTCCCCCAAACGATAGGAAACGCGTCCCACAACTTACCAGGGTGACCTGGTCCTGTTGCCGAGAGTGGCAGCCGCCCTGTTGTGCCATGTGGAGTCGGAGGTCAGTCCGAACGACTGGTGGGGAGCAGGCAGGACTCGGTTGGTGACTTGGCCGACAGACCCCAGAGGTTTAGGATGCTTGTTTGCTAGGGCTGTACCAGACAGGACAGGTTCACCTTTTCACCGTTCTCCTGATTCAAAGGCTTTAAAGATGATAATAATCTTGTACCAAAGAATGTTCTGTAGGAAAGAGAAGAAAGCTACATATTTTCCAAATAATAATGAAAATGAGCTAGTGAAGAGCTATAGGTTTGAATACGTTTTTTTGCATAAGTAGTTACTAACCGAAAGATGGAGAAGTGAACCAAACAATAGAGGGATTTTTATGGACTGTAGCCGTGGATTGCCTAGAATAGTTCTACAGTGTTAACTACCTTATTGTTACAAGAAACTTTAAAAATGTTGAAATACGATCTCCACATGGATCTCCAAAGATTTCCAAGTGTAATTTTGTTTTCCTTTTCTTTGGCAACTAGCTTTTCCAACAGTCCAGTATTAGATAAGATATTTTTAAAAGTTTTTTAATATGTACTTGCTGAAGAAAAAGAAATGCGTCTCACCAAAGATTTATGGTTGGGCCTCCCGGGGAAAAGCTGTTCCATGTACGGCAGGGGCGCACCCACCCCGCGAGACAGAGCGCGAGGGTCCCACGGCATTTCTCGGGCTCCCCGAGTCTTAGCAGCAATGCCAGAGGCTGATGTGTGCAGGTAGCCGCTGCCTTCTTTCCCAAAGACTTCCAGAGGGGAGCAGCGAGCCGTGCACCTCTGTGGCAGCCGAGGCCGTGGCCCGGTGTACGTTGGGGGGTGCTGTGCACGCTCTTGGGGTGCCCCTGCAGCGCTCTGAGCGGCCTCACATGCAGCCCCATCCAACTTGAAACCGGTCCCTCTGCACGAAGCCAAAGCTTGGCTCATCCGACAAGAGGGGTGAGCTCATCTTCCTCGTGTCTTCCGCTAGAATGGTTAGGTGGCTTTGCCTCAGCTGTCCGGAGTTAACTAAAGAGAATGACTTAATCCAAAGTGAGATTATCCAGGAAAGAAATAAATAGCTTTTATTCAAGTGTTTCTTAGCAGCAAATGAAGAAAACCAAAGATATTTAAGGTTACCTCAGCATAGAGGCATGTGTTAGGTAGGTCTTTTTGCTTTGTATTTCTTGTTTGAGTTAGTGTTGTATCCTAATGTGACGCTTCAGCTGGGATCCAGAGAAGGGCTGGGCGTGCTTTCTGCCTTTGCTTTGTCGTGTGGCGGAAGATTCAACCCATGGCTTGGTGGGCCCGGAAACAGCTTCTGTCCCCCCGCAAACCCTGCTGGGAAGAGGCTCTGGGCAGCTTTCCGGGGCTCGCAGATCTTGGAGCCTCATCATAGTTCACTCTTTTTCTGGAAAGCGGATTTACGTACTTGGTCAATAAAGCCGCCAGAGAGCAGATGAGCAAAACTGCCCTTTCTTAACTTCATCCCTTCCCTCTCAATGGCCAGGGGAGAACATCCCTTGATTCCACTGAAATCTCAGTTGGGTGCAGCACCTGAAAAGATTTACTCTGGAGTAGCCCCATTCCTTTCAGCGGGACACCCAAAGAATGACCCTGGAGGAAGTCACTTTTTGAGGACTGGGACGCTCCGGCTCCCAGCAGATCCCCCCACCCCCAGTGTGGCGGGCACTTCCCTTCCCGTGGGTTAGGGTGAGGCGGTCCCGGGTGATGCCAGCCCAGAATCCCAGGCTGGTGCCAGGAGCGGCTGTGCATGCAGCCCGCAGAGCTTTCGGACAGGTGCGGGGATTTGGGAAGCCGGCATCTCCTGGCCCCAGTGCCACAGAAATGGTTCCTGGCAAACCCAGAGCGGTCACCATGATGAACCTCAAGTCGAGCAGAGACATTATTGACTTATTCTACCATTCGAACGAACAGTTACGCTCTGTGGCGATACTGTGGCCCAGTGTGGGCCAGTTGGGCAGTGGCGAGGGTCCTGCTCTTTGGCAGATGCTCGGCACTACAACTCCCATAAGCTGCGGGCAGCATGGCCGGTCGCCAGGGCCTGTGGGAGCTGCACGTCAGTACGCCTGGAGGGCCCAGGCTGCTGGACTGTGCTGTGGGGGCTGCCTTGATGGGGGTTCAGACCCCCAGTCCTTGGCCACAAGCCCTGGGCTGCAGCGCCGGCTTGGCTGCCACACGCCGCCTCCCCAACACCAGGAGCGGCTGTGGACAGGCGTGGGCTGGGCGTTTTGGTTGTGTTAGGAAAGGCTTCTCTGAATGCGATTCACTGAACAGTATTTCTGTTCAGCTTTTATCCTGTAACACCTGTTTCGGCCTACAGTTGAAAACATTTTTAAAAATGGGATTAAATACAGAAATAGAGGAAAAGAGCAGCAACCAAAGTCTGTTTTTGCAGGCAGGCAGACTAAGCAGGGCAGCTCGTGAAGCCCCGTGTGCCTCAGAGTTCCCCACGGCATCTGGCTTTCTAAGAGAAAATCAGTGGGTCGCCTGGGGTGGGGCACCTGTCTGCCCCCCCCACCCGCGCACCACTCAGGTCTTTGGGGGATGTGGAAGGGAGGGGGCTGCCCCGTGGGGCTGCCCCAAGAAGCCTTAGCAGGTTTTGGTGGTTCCGCCTGGCAGCAAACTGCCTGAGGCCTTGTGGCCCCTCAGAGGCCGCTCCAGGTGCGGCTGAGAACCTCCCGAGGACCTGCTGGCCCCCACACCGCCGAGACCGTGCTCAGGTGTCCATCTGGGAGGTGCATGAGCCGGGCAGTGCGGCTGTGCTGGCAGGGAGCTGGTCGGGCCCAGCGGCTGAGACCGCCTGTTGGCCTCTGGGGACCTCACGCAGCGCCCACACAGAGCCCCAGCGGGTGCCTGCCACCCTCCACCCGCTTCTTGTGAGGAGGAGGTGGTGGCAGGCAGGCCGGGGCTGGTGGACACTTGCGTGTTCTCCCCAGCACATGCTGATCCCTGTGGAAAAGGTGCCGGACTCCAGACAGAGCCCAGAGGACATGAACATCCAGGGTTCATGAACAACCCCGGCTCATCTGCCTGGTGCTTTCAGTAAATGGCTTGTTCAAGAAACCCACGTCTGGGGGGGTGGGGGGACCAAAACCATTGTTTCTTCCGTTATTGTATTTTTGGAGATGTGAATGACTTGCCAGTGTGGGTGTCCAGCTGCGTTTCTTGAGCTGAGGGTGTTCTGGACCCCATCACTCCTTCTGCTGTTTTCTTGTAAGGGCAGCAGTGGCTGACTGGTAAATGGATGGCAGAGCTGAATTACATTAATTTTATAATTGACTCAGGGGATCAGCTCGGTGAATTCCATTGCTTGAGGGCAGCCACTGTTGCCTTGATCATGAATGTACCTTTTAAAATGTATTTTTTAATGTTTTGTTTCATAACGTGGATTTTTAAAAACCTTTTTTTAAATAGCATCATAGTGAATGTTAACCTGGTGTGTTTTTCCTCCTCCCTCCACCACCCCATCCCAGTCTTGTTCCTATACTAGCACAAATGTCATGCCAAAAATGAGTAGAAATTTAAATGCCAAATTGTTTATAAAACTGCTGTCTAATACTGATGGATTGCACAGTTTAAATAAAAGTTTCCTTTAGTAAATTCTACCTCTTCCCCCCACCCTTCAAGGAGTAGTTTTCTTTTCAATCTGTTGTCCAGTGGGTCAAACCATGGAGAGGATTTTTAGGGTCAAGTTGGTGGGTGGGGACAGTGATCCAACAAGAGGGGTCAGGAAAGCAGCCAGATTTCACAACACGGTGGGCCCCCGGAAGCACAGCCGACTCCCTCCACAGTCTGTCTGCATCAGGATGGCTCTCACTCAGCTTGCCTGTCCCTCTGGGGAGGGGGGCATCCATCTGAAGGGATGCCCCCCTAGGCTTCCCCCGGTTCTTACTGCAATGTGTCTTATTTCTTCATGAAAGAGGCCCCCATGCATGACTCATATGGACTTAACATTTTTACTCTCCAGATTTCCAAACTGCTTTTCCAAACCAAATTCAGTTCACATCGGTAACACCTCAGCTCAGTCTGGAAATGAGAACGCACATGGCGAGGAGTCCCTCTGTGTGCTGGTCTTCTCTCCTTTTTCCCAAGTGTCCCCCAGAGGTGTTCAGTACCCATGACCTGCCTGTGTGACACGGGGAGGGGGGTGCCCTTGTCAGCCCCATCCTGTGTAGAAGCAGCCTCTGGTCTTGGCCTTCCACTGGGACTGCAGGAGATCAAAGGACCTCCTTGCACGCATTTCATTCCAAGAATGCCATTTTTCCTGTTGTGTCCGTGCCTTGAGGAGCGCCCCTTGCAGCAGGAGGTGTCCCGCCTCTGGCCTGCTCAGATGTCAACGTGGGCTTCTCTTCATCTCCATGCTCCATGGAAAGACCAGGGGGAAGATCGGAGTGCCCCAGCTGATGATGGGAGAAGATGATGCAGCTCTCAGCCTGCAGCACAGCTTTCCAGCTCCTGCCCCGGCGCCAAACGAAGGCATGGAGCCGAAGCAGGAGGTGGGGGCTACAGCTACTGCGAGGCCGGAGAGCGCTTGGCCAGCTCTTGCACGCGCGCCACCCGATGTCCTGTCCCTGGGCTCTGTTGCCCACTCAACCAGCACAGGGGAATAGCTGCTTTCGCTTAAGGTGCATTTCCCAGGTGGACAACAACTGCCTTAACCAGCATGACAAGAAACTAATAACCGTGTGCAGGATTTCCGAGACACGACGAGAAGCCTTTTGCATTTTCGGCAGAGCAGATGTTCTTTGCCGGCCTGGCACACGCTGGCAGTCTTCACGCCTTAACCAAAGGTCCACTGCAAGTGGCTCTCCATGCAAACTTCTCTGAAGCGGCATCGAGGGAGCTTCCACCCGCAGCTGAAGCCAAGCATGCCGGTCTTGATTTCTAGGTTTCTTCATGCCGAAGCAGATGTGATTGTTCCGGTATGTTTCCCGCACGCACCTCCTCATCTGTGTATCCCTTTACAGGTTGAGCTTCAAGGCCCGCACGAGGAGGCAGGCGGCCACAAGCAACCCTGTTCTGCCAGGGGTCCGTTGATAATCGGGACGCGGATCCGGCTGGGGCTGCAAGGGCACCGCGCCTCTCTCCGCCGCAGAAGGCCAGGCCAGAGCCGCTAAAACGAAGCGGAGGGTGTCGCTCCGGCTCCAGTGAGAACGAGCTCCCGGGGGACGTACTCCTTGGGTTCCCCCGGGAAGGCTGCTGCCGACGGCTGCCCTGGCCGCGCGGTCCTCCCTCTCGCAGGGGACGGGCACCGGGCTGCGGACGTCGAGCGCCTCCGCGGCCGCCCCTCCTGGTGGGCGCCCGGGGGCGGCCGCGGCTTGCTTCCTGCGCTCACGCGGGGCCGCCCCCGTCGAGGCTCCGAGCGGCAGCCTCTCGGCGAAGCCCCGAGGACGGCGCGGCCGGGCCGCTCCCGCCTCCTCCCGCCGCTCTTCCCCCGCCCCTTTCCCGCGGAGCGCGGGCGGGCAGGTCGGGGCGCCGAAGCCCGCGAGCGTCCCGGGCGCGGCGCGCCGGCTCGCCTGCGCCGCCGCCCCCTC